ATCACCAGTTCCTTAATATCAAATAGCTAGTCAGTATTTTAATTTCTCTGATTTTACTGTATAGATATGAGTAATGGAATATGTAAAAGTTCAAACTAGGAGCCAAACAAAATTGAAGAGCTTTTCAAAAAATTCTGTGCCCAAGGGATCTTCTTCTCAGGGGATTCTGATTTACTGATTTATTAGGGGCAAACTTCATAATTTGCAAAGCTCACCAGGTGGTTTTTTTTTTTTTTTTTTTTCTACCAACTCCTCCAGCACCAAGCTGTTAGCCTCTCCCCATTCCCACCAGCCCTGAGGGCACGGCCTCCAGAAGCCTGCTTGGACAAGTTGATGGCTGCCTTGTCTCCGGGCTCTTCTTTCAAGGTGGGCTGGATCTCTGTGCACACAGCAGCTGCCCTCCCTTCAGACTTGCTGCTTCTTCCTTGCTCTGGCTCCTCTAATATGCCTGGTACTCGTTCTTGCCTTGCAAGCATAGCAGACTTTTTTTTCCTTTTGCTTGAAAATAGCAAAATTCCTGCCTCAGGAAAAAAGTGAGAACTTCCCCGGGGGCTGTACTCGGCGGTTTGGCTGCTCAAGTGGCTCCGGCTGGCTGCGCTGGAGCTGAGCAAGGGGCCTGCCAGGGGCTTGGCAACAGATGTAAGGGAACCCAGGGATTTGAGTGCAACTTGAACCCAGCACATTTGGGGAAATCTGGGAAACCGTTCTTGCCTTAAGATGCTGGCCCTGGGAACATGGTAGAAAATGAAGCTCACGGCAGTTTCTGCTCTTCGCTTCCCACCCCTGCACTGCACTTGCCTTTTGGATTCATTCCTCCCTCCTGTGTCCCCCACTCCATGCCTCACTGAATGTTGGTGAAACAAATCTAGTTTAAAATAATGAGCAATCAGCTACCCTGATGCTTGGGGCAGGCTGGGCAGGGGCTGGGGAAGGCGGGTAGGGGGAGCGGAATCATTTAGAAAGCTTAATGAAGATGCAGATGAGCAGTGCTTACGAGGAACCCCAGGGCTGAGCTTATTTATTATTCAAAGTTGGGTACATGCCACTAGGTCCTGTTTGCTGGAATCCAGCCCTTTGTCCCAGGCCTACATGTCCCGTCCACTTTGGAACACCCGCTCTTCTGGATGCTCACCTTCTCCTTGTCTTAGGATCCTGCCAATGAACCCTATTTAGGCAGGGGTGGGGAGCATCTGGGTTGTGAAATCATTTGGTATGGCCTAAGAAGGCAACTGTAGACAGGATTAGAAATTCAATATATGTGTAGCAGGCTGATTTTTCAGTTGGTAACTGTGTATAACCTGCGAATGGTGTTTTAAATACCCACGTGGCCCTTGGCAGAAAAATGATCTCCATCTCCAGAGTAACAAAAAGTCCTACACTCCCACCCCCACAGTTTTCTTTGTAGATGGACTCTCGTTTTTTAAGGTTTCCAAGGAGAGACTGTCATAAAAGTGCTCACATGCGTGTTTTAGTATCTCACACATCTACCAGTGCGAAGGATTTCTTGATGTCTAAGCTAAGTCCTTCTTGTTGCAGCGAAAATGCCTCCACTGTAATGGCCAAATTCACCTTGATCCTCTCCTGAGGAATAAAATGTGGGCATAAAGTCACTTTCCAGCCCACTGGTTCCAGACTGACTCCACCTGTTGCCTCCTTTTACCTTTCTTCATTTTTAAGAAATTTATGCATTTGAAAACCAGAGAGAAAGAGAGCACGAGAAGAATCTTCTATCCACTGGTTCATTCTCCAAATAGCTACAACAGTTGGATTAGGTTTGGATCTAGGCCAGGCCAAACCCACATGGGTGACAGAGACACACACATCTGGGCCATCTTCCACTGCTTTTCCAGGCACATTAGCAGGGAACTGAGTTGGAAGTGGAGCAGCCAGGACTCCAACTGGCACTCTCATGGAATGCTTGTGCTCTAGACAGCAGCTTTGCACACTGAGCCACAATACCAGCCCCAAGCTTTTACCTGTCTAGATGGCTGAACCTCGTTCCAAATTAGCCTTACCCTCCCTAAGCTCTTGAACTTGTTCCTTTGGCACTATTATAACTAGCTCATGCTAACACCAACACACCATCCTCTCTTCCCTCACTGTGGTCACTGACTTACACCCCACCATCTCCTGCCCCTTAGAACCTCAGTGACTTCCCTGCCTTCTCCCTCCACCAATTTCCCCTGTTTCCCCACCACCATGGTTTATGAGGCTGCGAGATGAAGAACTGGGTCAGTGTTGCGAAGCATTGATTGCTTCAGCTCTCCCTGCCTTTCTGGTCAGGCTCACTCCCTCCCTGCCCCCACTCTATTTTTAGCCTGCCTCTGTTTTCCTTAGACTGGCTGGCAACCACACTGGTCTCTTTCTCTTCATTGCCCTTATCTCTCCCCTACAGCTTGTGCAGACCCTGGCTAACCTTTCAGAGGTCTCTTACTGTCTACCCAATTGATTTTGATTTTCTTCCATCTTGAGGATACATACGGGCTGCCTGACAGGGGGTGGCTGGCCACATTCCTGCAAAAGGGTTACAGCCAGCTGACTCTGATCTGTCTGTCTGGGCAAAGTCTCAATGTTACTGAAACCCTCAACGTGTCTCTAACTCCTCCTACAGTGACGTTTGCTCTCCCCCTCACCCATAGGCTATTCCCTGCACCTCCTCTCTCTTCTATTCATCACCTGCTCCAACCAAGAAGCATGCACATTGCAGGCAGGAGCTTGGCCTGGTGGTTAAGACACAGGCTGAAAATACCCATACCCTATATTGGAGTGCCTGGGTTCTGTCCACAGCTCTAGTGCCTGACTCAAGCTAGACCTTGGGAGGCAGCAGTGATGTTCAAAATACTGGGGTCCCTGCTGCCCTTGTGGGAGGCTTAGATTGAATTCCCAGCTCCTGGTTTCAGCCTGGCCTAGCCGCTCCCCCTCCCCACCACCAGTCATTGCCTGCATTTGGGAAGTCAAACAACAGATGAGAGTTAGTGTTCTTTTGCATGCTATCTGCCTTACAAATATAATAAACCTTTAAAAACTTGCTTTTTCCCACTTGGGAGCTCCACGCCCATTTCCTTTGGCTTTGTGTCCTTGGAGGTCCTGGCTTGCCTTCTTGCATGCTGCCTGGCTCCTTGTTGGTCTCAGACTACCCTGCCTCACTCAGTGCTGCCACTCCCCTTCTTTCCTTTTCTGCGACACATAGGGCTCATTTGTAAAGGCCTTCGCCAGCTCAGGCACGGCTTGGTAGCATCCCCCACTTGTCCTTTCCCAGCCTCCACAAGACACTTGGTCCCCTCCTTTAGCTGTTACCAGCAAGCTGAACAAGGCTAGATATTTTGGAAGGGAAGCTGCAGCTGGCTGGGGGAGGAGGGTGGCACTGAGCAAAGACACAGAGAGAGCTGCAGACAGCAAATGGGGACGTCCGCAACACCCCTTTCCCCAACGTGTCAGTTTAGGAGCTGGTGGGATCTCACGTGGCTCACTCTTGGTGCCTCGTTTTTCTCTCCCCCTCAGTGATCACACAATAGTTTGTGTTGCACTTGGTAACACTCTTCTGCATGCAACCAAACATCTACATGGTTCACAGCTTCTCCTCCTCTTCTGCTGCTATGCTGCCTCCTCAGGGCATCCTGGCCTAAGCACCTAGCTACCAGGGCAGATTCAGCCCTCAACTGTGCCCTTCCCCAGATCAACTTCTTAACACATTTTGTATGATGGTAGACACTTGTGTGTACTGCTTATCTGTCTTCTCGCTGTCCTAAGAACCACAAGAACAGGAATGTTTTAAATTGTGGTAGATTGCACAAAACACAAAGTTTGCCATCTTTGTCATTTGTGTGTACAGTGTAACAGCTTCAAGGACATCTATATGATTAGGCAACCCATCTCTAGAACTCTATGACTCTGGCCACAGATAGGAAGTGTAACAGCCAGGACTTTAACCAGTAGTCATTTCAGATGCTGGCGTGGCAAGTGGTGGCATAAACAAATGCACACCTGTACTGTTTTAGAACAGCGATTTGTCTCCTTTGTTCACTGGTGCAGTGACAGTAGCTGTGACAATGCCCTAGCACGGTGCCTGGAATACGGAGGGGCTCAACAGACGTGTGTGCATTGGACAAGAGGAGGAATGGCACATTTGATCTTCACACAGCTCTGTGTAGGCGGCCAGCATGATTAGTCCGTTTTATATAAATGATTACTCCCATTTTACAGAGGCTGAGGTTCAGAGAGCCATCTGAGATTACACAAAACAGATTTGGCGTGGGGTTGACAGGATTGGCTGCCTTTTATACCTCGCTGGAGAAATCAGTACTAATACATGTGCCTAGGCTGTTAAGGACTCCAGCAGCTGCAGAGTAATTTCCTCGCTGTTGTCTTTCCTTTGGGAATATTTTGACTCATGCTCCTGTTGCCACCTCCTCAGTGAGCCCTCCTGACATACCCACCCCACCCAGGCTCAGCCATTCACTCCTTGGGGTATCTGTGTGTTCTATTCTCTGGGACAGCCTCACCTGGACATCCTCCTGCTCAGGGATTATCTGTGTGAACCCCACCCTGCTGGACCCCCTGCCTACACCTCTCACCCCTCCACCCACCCTGGGGTGGTTATGAGCCTGTTCCTTTGCAAAGCAATTAGTGCAAGGAGGCCAGCCGACCCGTGCTAATGCTGTTTCATTAAGTGGGAGCAATCCTAATGATAATAAAATGGCACATTTAACATTCAAACATTGAACAGGGTTTCTAAGCGAGTGTGTCTCTCTTTCTTCCTGGTATAACAGCTCCATCTTCATAAGGACCTGACAATACACCTTAATGAGGGACTGGGGAGCTGAGCACCTTTATAGAACCAGAGAGAGGAGGAAGATGAGACAAAGGCTGCAGAGAAAGGGGGTGCTGTGAGTCTAGGAGATAAAGACTTTCAGCATTCCGTGGTGCTCATTTAGACAATTAGAGCTCACAAGAAATGAGGTCGTATGGAACAGAAAGCCCACCACAGACCTAAATGAAATGCAACTATTTATTTGTTTGTTCCACAATTCTTTTTCAACAAACATTTATGGTGCACTTAAGATCAGCTGAATTTTTTTAAGAGTTTGTGATGGAGACTGTCTGTAGTTTAAGGGAAAGGAACGTGGTAGGGAAATATAAGAGGTTATCTTATTTACTCTCCCCCGAGCAGGCTTAGACAAATTTGTGCCAAGTTCATGAATGTCCAGTGAAGAGAATTTTTAGAAACTGTTTTAGTCCCCTAGGCCAGTCTTTGTGCCCCCCTCCTTCTTTGAGATGTTCATCTCGATGTTCATCTCGATGTTGCTCCTCTGTGATTATAGACTATGGAACTGACCTTCCGGAAGTAAGGAAGTCACTAGGATTGGGGATCTTGACAGGAAAAGTAGGTTGACTAAACCATTTGAGGATCCAATAGAGGCAGGAGGAAAGTGGGACATGTCAGGGCCACTTCTCTGCAAGGTCTCTCACACAGCCTAGGGATCCTGGGCACAGAAGGGAGGTCAAAGATAGGAGGTCAAAGGTGAGCCTTGCCCAGGCCAGGAAAGCGGCTGATTCGAAAAGGTGTCAAATCGTAGGATGGGGTTAATTTCATGCTTAGTTCACACAAGATCTTCCCCACAACAGGGGACAGCTTGAATCCATGCCCTAGGGAAAGAAAAGAAAATGGTCAAGCATTCAGAGGCAGGCAGGCTGGACTCCCGACCAGTTCCCCATTGACCCACACTGAGGGCTGACTCTCCTGGTCCTGTCCCAGAGCCCCTCTGACTTTCCAACCCCCTTATTTACTCAGAGCCAGGCATTAGCACCTGTGTGGACAGCTGAGCATGAGGAAGAACCCATCTGGCCCTGCCTTGAGAACTGCCAACTCTAAGAACACCACATCCCCCTCCTCCTCAACTCACCAGAGAATCCAGCACCAATGACTATGTTGTCATACTTTGGGTGGCGATCAAGAACAAAGTGTCTGTCAGGGGTGTTCTAGAAAGAAACATTCACACCTGTATGCTTTCAGGACAAAGGCAGGAAGAAAAACCACAGGCTCTGAGGGAAGGGGATTTGGACTGGGTTTCTTTCCAGGGAGAATAGGGACAGAGAGTGGGTTGCTGTCTACCTGCCAGCCCCCTCTGGATGCCAGTCTCCCCATCTGTCCATCTGTCCTTGTCTCTCCTGCAGAGCAATGAACACAGTAGGTGCTCAGCTCATCCTCCCAAACCCACTCTAGCCAAGATGCCTCAGGCTCTGATGGCATCTGTCTTTTCTCTTTGTCCCTGAGGCCTGCTCAACAGGCACATCTTGCCAAAAACCCTTTTAGAGCTCTTCTGGGGACTATCGTCAGGGACTGCCAGGCCTAGCTCATTGCCTAATGAAAAAGAATACGAATAATCCCTCATGGGCCCTGTCTGGGAGAGGAAAGCCGACCCACAGAGCTCAGCTCGCTTGTTGCAAAGTTGTTCGTGGTATCAGGGGTCAGAGTCAGGCCCAGCCAGCATGAGGTCCACCTGCCTTCCTCTACTGATCTCCAGATCTGTAGCAGGAGCTAGGGAGCTGCAGGGACCACCAGCCCCTTACTGTGTACATGCAGTGTTCCAGGATGTCAGGCTCTGGCTTCAGGCCAGGTAGGTGAGTTCGGACAAAATGGCACAGGATCTGGACGTCTTGGATGTCTGTCAATGCTGTGGGACAGTCGCGCTCCTCGGGGTCCACGGCATCCCCGTGGTGATAGCAGATCTGTCCCCAAATCAAAGCTATGTGAGTGACACAGCCAGCCTTCCACTTACACACATCAACAAGGGGGCAGCAGCCTACACAGGATGGCCCCTGTTAGCATCCCACCATCCTCTGTCTGACACAGGCTCCTTGTTGCTACCTGAAGTTGCCCAGCTGCCTGGTCCCACCCTACCCTGTGTTGGCATAGGAAGGATACCCTTTGTAGGGCCTTTGGACAGCTGGGGTACTACCCACTGGGACCTAGAAGGCATCTGTGAAGGAGTCCCATCTTGTGGGCACCTCTACTTACCTTCATGAGCCCTGGGTACTCTCTGGAGGGCAGCCCATAGATGTGGTGGGGAGTCAGGCCCAGCTCCAAGAAACAAGGAAAGGACTGGGAAGCACCATAGCTCCCAGGAACCATCTCTCGCCAGTAACACACATTGATCCGCAGGGTCTTGAAGAAGGGACAGGAGTGAGAAGTGAAGGGGAAGCCACAGATACTCTAAACCATGAGAACAACACCTTCTGGGGTGCTGCAGCACAACCACAAGCTTAGAAACCCAGTTTTGCTTGTCCACCCTTGCTCAGCAATCCTCCCATCATTTGGCTTGCTTTTTTTATGATACACAAAGATCTCTGGACTCTCTGTCTCACCCCCCGTTCTTTGTTTTCTCTCTTACCTGCACCCCAGCCCTTCTTCTTGCTCTTTGCAGGAGTTCATGACACTAGCTAGTTATTAAAGCCAGGCCATCTCCTAAAGGTTTGACAAAGGATCTTCAAGAAGTTCAAGGAGGGAGTGAGCGTTTAGCATAGCGTTTAGCGTTTAGCATGCTGGCCAAGATGCCTGTGCCACACATCAGAGTACCTGGGTTCAGTTCTCCACTCTGGCTCCTGACTCCAGGTTCCTGCTAATGCAGACCCTCGAGGCTGCAGTGATGGTTCAGGAAGCCCATGTGGGAGATCTGGATCGAGTTCCTGGCTCCCAACTTTGGCCCTGGCCCAACATTGGCCTTTGAGTGCAATTTGGAAGAACCACTGACTCAGCAAGGTGAGCTAATTTTCTCAAGGTCAACCAATAGCAAATGGCAGGTTCAGGACTCAAACTTGAGTTTGTCAGCCTCCCAGGCTTCTTTACTTAAATATCTACTCTCAGGTTTTCAGTTCTCCCCACCTGGAGGGGTAGCTCAATGCCCAGGGGACGGAGCAGCCTGTTGGTCCAGGGACCTGCTGTGATGATCAAGTTCTTGGCTTGATAGCTCCTGGAGGTGGTTGTCACCGTGACTGGCAGACCTGGTTTTATGTCCAGAACCTTCTCTCCATCACATACCATGCCTCCCAGCTGGCAAAGCACATCCTGAAGGAACAAGAACAGGGAAAGGCACATTTTTTCTCTTTGTGTTTGCCTTGGTGAACTAAGAGCCTCTCACTTAGGGCAAAGAACAGAGTGTAGAATCTGGATCCCTATCCCTAACTAAAAAGACCAACAGGACACATAAAATGGCTCTGCAGATCAAGACAGAAGCCTGCAGGCATCTGGAGGAAGATCCTGGGATGGCCAATTAGGATTCAGGATGCCAAGAGCAGGGAGATATATTGTCCCAGGGCTGGACAGGTCACCTGGAGGGCTCTGAGGGCCTTGTCTGCATAAAGAACTCCTCCAGACTTGTCCAAGAGTCCTACTTCTCCCTTGGTGACCCGAATATTTGGGAAATGCTGCTTCAGTTCTTCAGATGAAAAATACTGGTGATCCAGCCCATGACTCGACAGTGTAGCCTGCATTGCCTTTAGTTCTGGATTCCCTGCCATTCCAAGCAGCAGCAGTCCAGTGTGCCTGTAAAAACAAAGAATGACCACCTGGATGAAGGTGTATGTCAAGGTCCAAGGCCATCTACGAGGGTACCAGGTCCAGGCCTAGCTACTGAGGAGAATGAGCCCTCACACTGAGAGAAGAAATGAAGCCACCCAGATTCGGGCACAAGAGTCCTAGTACTCTCCATCTCTTGTCCAGCCCATTTGCAAGCCTGTCTTGTCTCTCACTGTTGGGTTGCTTGTTACTCTGTCCTGCACCTGAAAACAGAGATGCCACATCCCTTTCACCTTTACCCCTTCAGGATGATGTGCATTCAGCCAGTCTGGTGAGATGTCTTCCCCTTCCTCATTATTCCCATCCCTCTACTCTATATGTAGCCCAGGACACAGCTCCCCCATCTTCTTGTCATGCCATGCACTGTTTCCTCCTGGTTTGTCTCTGCCTCTCTGTTTCTTCTCAGAGGCTGATTTTTGTGGGAAGATCTTAAACCAGTTTGGGCTGTGATCTTGGCATCACTTTGATGTGACCTGAATCTGGTTGCCCCATCTCTGGGCCCAGATTCCACATCAGGGCAGTACCCACCCCCTCTACCCAAAAGGTAGAAAGGCATGGGTCATTTTTATAATTGTTACAGTGTCTGGAGTTACAACTCACATGTAGGGATGCTAAACCTTAAGCGTTCAAAATTCCACCCCAAATGCCAAAGGCACCTTCACAGTTAAATGGCATTGGGTGGTCCCTTGTGGCTTTGGACATAAACTGAGTGATTATGTCTCTCTCAGCACCTCCCTCCATCCTTCCCAAAGCAGTGAAAGCTGTTTCTCTTGCATGCTTCTTGCCTCCCTGCCACAAGAGACCAACGCTCCCTTTAGGCAGGAAATGAGCTAAGCAGAGGGCAGGGTCCTTCTGACCCCCAGAACTGATCCTGTGGCTCCTTCTGGTTGCACATTCGGACTGACCAGCACCAGCCGGGTACATCCCCAGGTGCTGCGTGAAAAGCTCGTAATAGCCTATAATGGAGTCTCATGGATATTACATGCTTCCAAATCCCACATTATCTGGTTGGGGGGATTAAAGAGACGATTGGGAGGTGGGAGGGACACATTGGGCCCTGGGGCTGGTGTCAGTACACAGAGCAGCGCAGCGTGCCCAATCCATTCGCCATGGCCCCGCCTCCCCAGCTCTCAGCACAGTGAGATAGCAGCGAGAGCCTCTGCTCTTCAGAGCTCCTCAGAGGCAAGGCTGACGCGATCCCCAGCAGCTTGCTGACAGCCTCTTCTCTGTAGCCCCCTAAAGGACTTGTGATTGGTTCTCAGGTAATACAAACTTGCCTAGCAAATGCTTTGGTCAACAAGATCCTAAAGCGATACAGTCACCTAGTACATGTTCTTGAGCCCTTTTCGCCAATAGGGTCCCAGCTGGGTAGGATTCTAGGAAATCCTACTTGCCTAAGCAGATGCCATGTTTGACCCCAGGCCTAGAAATTTATGTCAAAGCAATGTATTGTGACCCCTCCCTGCACTATAGCATGTATAGCATCCTGGGTCTCTCATATTCTCTGAGATTTACACACACACACACACATACACACACACAAACACACATTCTCTCTTTTTTAAAAAAATTATTTTTATTGGAAATTCAGATATATATAGAGGAGGAGAGACAGAGAGAAAAATCTTCCATCCATTTATTCACTCCTCAAGTGGCTACAACAGTCAGAGCTGAGCTGATCCGAAGCCAGGAGCCTGGAGCTTCTTCCAGGTCTCCCACGTGGGTGCAGGGTCCCAAGGCTTTGGGCCATTCTTTACCGCTTTCTCAGGCCACAAGCAGGAAGCTGGATGGGAAGTGTGGCCACCAGAATGAGAACCAGCACCCAAATGGGATCTCTTTTTAAAGAAAAGTATGTGGTTCCAGCATAGTAGCCTAGTGAGTGGCTACATCCTTACCTTGCATGCACTGGGATCCCATGTAGGCACCAGTTCATGCCCTGGCTGCTCTGCTTCCAATCCTGGCTTTGGATTAGATCAGCTCCAGCCATTGCAGCCACCTGGGGAGTGAACCAGCAGATAGAAGATTTTTCTCTCTGTCTCTCCTCTGTCTATAAATCTGACTTCCCATAAAAATAAATCTTAAAAATAGTAGGTATTTATTTGAAACAGTTACACAGAGAGGGAGAGACAGAAATCTGCCTCCCACTGGTTCACTTCCCAGATGACTGTAACTGCCAGGGCTGAGCCAGGCTGAAGCCAGGAACTCCAGCTAGATCTCTCAGGTTGGTGGCAGTGGCCCAAACACTTGAACACCCTCTACTGCTCCCCCAGATGTACTAGCAGGGAGCTGGAGGGGAAGTGGAGCAGGTAGAACTCCAGCCAGCTCCTCTATGGGATGCCAGCATACAGCAGCTTTACCTGCTACACACCACAATGTCGACCCCATACAGACATATATGCATATATGTATTTTTATAATTCCTTTCCTCCTCCCTTCTGTCCTTCTACCTTCCTTCCTTCTTCGCTTAAAAAGAGAAGCCTTCTTACAGGGTTGTACTGAACGGGGGAAATGAACGCGTGCCAAGGTAACGGGTGAATCTGGCCGATGATGAAATGCTGAGTGACGTTCTAATTCACAGCCGTCCTGTGGCGGATGAAGCGGGAGCTCCCCTTCCCTGGGCGTAATCAGCGAGCTGATTCTGCCGGTGAATGTAATTGTGCCGATTGTAATCATTTTGCTCCAGCTCTCTGCCCTGGTGGCATTTATTTCTTAGCCCAGATATTGATCTAACAGTGGGAAATTTTCCATCTGAATCTGAGATGCCGGACCCTCCCCTGGTCCTAAGATGCGTTTGGGAAATTCTCATTTTCCGTGGATCACAGCCGAGCTATTTGGCCTGAGGGAAACCATGCACTGCCAGAGAAATGCCGTGGATTGGAGAGAGATTTTTGACCATTATGAGCAAATCGGAAATAAATGTAAAACACTGCCTGGAAATGCAAAGGCCTGTCATTATGGGAGATAGGTGAGACGCTCCTATGGGAAATGCTTAGAGAATTGGAAATCAGTCAATCAAAACCAGGATCGGAGAACGGGCCTTTTCCCCCAGTATAAAGATAGATGACTTCCATGGGCAGATTGAAAATCATTTAAGTGCTTATTTTCTTAATGGCTTTTCCTAGATCCCAATAAATAGACTGCTTATTCTGTGTCAATTTCTCACCCCTATGCTCCCTCCTCTTTCTCTGCTGTGCTCCGACCAAAGCTACAAATTTGGGAAGGAAAAGGGTGAAAAGAGACAAGGGCATCCACATGGGGCTATGCGTGAGGGGACAAGATCAGAAAATGACTGGTCAGGGCTGGCCTGGAAAGGAGGGCTAAAAGCCAGTGTTCATGTAGTCAGAACCCCGGCATATTTGCCGCTCCCAACTCCCAGGCCGCCCATCAGCTGGGTCAAGAGCACAGGCATGCGCTGCTCCTTCCTCCCAACTTCACTTTGGTCTAGCACCAGGAGCAAGTAATTGAAGATTCCTCCCCAGGGCCTTGTTGACTCCTCTACAGCCTAACTTCTCAGATGTGATATAGGGAGTTGGTGATCATGGATTTCTACCAGTTACTGAGGCCAGACAGGGTACACAATGCAGTGGGGAGGACTTGGGAGGAGACGGCTCCCTGCACCTGCTGTCTCCCACCCCAGGCTCCAGTGTTTCCCTGTCTGGGTTAAGAGTACCAGGCAAGCCAGCTTTCTCTGAGACACCTTGGGGAAGCGACTTGGTAATGGCTGCTGTCTTTGTTGGTTTTGGAGGCACTCCCTGCGTTTCATCTTCCGCTCAGTGGGCCGAGGTGGAATTGGTTAACAGAGACTGCTCCAGGGAGGGGATGTGGCTGACAAGCCAGACACTTCGCAGACACAGGAAGCAGCAGCTGCGGAGGGGGCCACCAGGTTCTGCCAGCAGCTGTATTGCCTACGGCTGTGATCTTGTCTGATATTGTCAGCTAAGCAGGGGCAGCCTGGGTCAGGAGCTGGATAGTAGGACTCAAAGGGAGAAGGCAGGGCAGGAGAGAGAGGGGCCACAGCACTGGGCTTTGCTGTTGGTGTCTGCGTTGTGCCTGTACACATCACAAAAGATTCAGACCTTGTGATCTGACACATGTGTCAGTGTCTGTTCCCAGAATATATGCAAATAGTCTGAGCCCACCTGTGTTTAGTATGCTGCTGTCACAGGACGCAGCAGAACAGAATAAAAAGAGCTGCCTTAAGTAGCACCTCCTCAAGATTTCCTTGAAATCATCATCAAATAGCATGAAATATGCCCATATTTATTAGTTACAGTATTGTGCTGGGTTTTTTTTTTTTTTTTCAGAAGAACCTAGGGAGAAGAACCACAAAAATGATGAATCATTTAGAAAATCAGATTTAGGAGTAAAAGTGAAAGACAGTAAAATGGCTTTGGGCCCAAAGGTAGAAATGTATTCAAATGCCACTCAATATGAGAAGCTTCTGCCCTGTGTCCCTACTAAGTAAAATAATAAAATAAAGTTAGTGCATCTCAGTAAATCAGATTAACTACAAGAAAGGACATGTTAATAACAGAATAGCAGCAGCAACAACACTACGCACGCTGAAAGGTGTTTATGTTCACATCACTCCTCATTTTTCATAATTGCTGTGAGGCATCAAAATGTTGTGTTGTGTTGTGTTGTGTTGTGTTGTGTTGTGTTGTGTTGTGGGTTTTTTGAGAGGTACAACGATGACAGAAGCCTGCTCCTATCTTCTGGTCCACTTGCTAAATGTCCAAATGACTCAGACTGGAGATAGGAAAAGAATCAAAGCCAAGAACCAGGAATGCAGTCCAGGTCTCCCACATAAGTGGTAGGAACTCAATTATGTAAGGCAACACCTGCTGCCTCCCAAGATGCACACTGGCAAGAAGCTGGAGTCAGTGCAGAACGGAATCCTGATATACCTGTGTGGAATATGGAGCCTCCTAATCACTAGAACTGTTCCAGAATGTTCCTTTAAGATGTCCTATGGTGCTGTCCCATCAGGCACCCAATATCCCATGACTGTTGCTTAGTCTCACTTTCCCTGAAAAAAGGGGACCTATGATATTTCTTGTTCTGATGTTCAGTCTTCTGACCCCAGATGATTCAGACAGGAACTTGTTTAGCGACAGTAGAAGGGATGAGATCACCAGTTTGTGGAATCTCCTAGATCAGGGGCCAGGAAGCTACAATTCAGAGACCAAATTGGGCTTTCTGTGTGTTTTTTCTCACCTAAAGTCAATATTTTTTGATAATTTAAGTGATTGATAAAAAGGTAAAAAGAATACTATTTCATAACACAGAAAAATTATGTGAAATCCGAATTTCAATGCTTATAAATAGTTCTATTGCAACACTTCCAGGTTTGTTTGTTTATACCTTGTATGTAGCTGCTTTTACACTATGAAGGCAGAGCTGAACAGCTGTAATGGACCACAGGGCCATGAAGCCTCAAATACTGTATGGCCACAGACAGGAAACCTCTGCTGGTTGACTAGGAGTTTGGCATGCTGTTGTATGCATGAATGGCTGACATTGATGACTCAGTGGCAACCCTCTCCAAAGGTACAGGGAGGAGAAATGAGATGTACATGTGGGTACATTGAAAGGCTCATGGAAAAATATACAAGAACTGTTTATTTTGGTACAAAAGGTTGAGTTCATGCATATGAGGGGATGGGATCTTTAAAAAGTATGGAAAACATGCATTGTGAAAAAGCTTTCAAAATTTTTACATGCAAATAAAATTTCCATTTTTCCATGAACTTTTTTTAAAAGATCTATTTATTTTTATTGCAAAGTCAGATATACAGAGAGAAGGAGACAGAGAGGAGGATCTTCCATCCAATGATTCACTCCCCAAGTGACCGCAATGGTCAGTGCTGCGCCGATCTGAAGCCAGGAGCCAGGAACTTCCTCTTTTAGGTCTCCCATGTGGGTGCAAGGTCCCAAGGCTTTGGGCCGTCCTCGACTGCTTTCCCAGGGCCACAGGCAGGGAGCTGGATGGGAAGTGGAGCTGCCGGGATTAGAACCATCGCCCATATGGGATCCTGGCACATTCAAGGTGAGGACTTCAGCTGCTAGACCATGCCGCCTGGCCCTTTCCATGGACATTTGAGGTACTATCATGCAAGTCATATATACCTTATCCAGTATACCACATATAATGAGGTATTCTGGGAATGGGACCCAAGTCTAAATTCATTTATGCTTCATGTGCACCTTACACTCACCCTCAAGGGAAGTTTAGACAGGCACACACATTTAGACTCGTATCAGTCACCTGATACAAGGTGTGGCATATGCCACTTGTGGCGTCATGTCAGTGCTCAAAAAGTTCTGGATTTGGGCAGATTTTAGAATTTTGGATTAAGAATGTTCAACCTGGGCCTGGCGCAATAGCGTAGTGGTGAAAGTCCTCACTTTGCACGTCCAGGATCCCATATGGGTGCCGGTTGTAATCCCGGCAGCCCCACTTCCCATCCAGCTCCCTGCTTGTGGCCTGGGAAAGCAGCAGAGCGCGGCCCAAAGCCTTGGGACCCTGTATCCACATGGGAGACCTGGAAGAAGCTCCAGGCTCCTGGCTTTGGATCAGCTCAGCTCCACCATTGTGGCCACTTGGGGAGTGAACCATAGGATGGAAGATCTTCCTCTCTGTCTCTCCTACTCTCTGTATATCTGACTTTGCAATAAAAATAAATAAATCTTAAAAAAAAAAAAAAAAGAATGCTCAACCGGTACCATACTTATTTCCACAGCCCTTAGTTTCCTATGGAAGGTGACAATGACTTTCCAGCATTGTTCTAGGCCCATCGCATACAATAGCCCCTACTTGGTACATGAGAAAATTGAGTCTAAACACACAGGGGATATGTAACTCACAGCTACATATCACACGGCTGAGTATTGTCAGGGCCAGGCCTAACTGCTTCCCAAAACTTCTCACTTCCTGAGCTGCCAAAAAGGAGGACTATGAGATTATGGGATCTCCCACCTCAGGCTGCCATTCCTTCTGTCCTACAATCATTGCATGTGATCCAAGACATGATGATCAGAACAGGGAATGACTGTCACTTATTGAAAGGTGCTAGGCACTTTGTCAAATATTTCACCGAAGTTTCATTTAACCTCACTGAGCCCTATGAGAAAAGGAGGCAAATAGAGGGTCTGGCGCAATGGCCTAGTAGTTAGTCCTTGCCTTAAATACCCCGAGATTTCATATGGGCGCCAGTTCTTATCCTGGCAACCCCGCTTCCCATCCAGCTCCCTACTTGTGGCCTGGGAAAACAGTCGAGGACGGCCTAAAGCTTTGAGACCCTGCACCCGCATGGGAGACCTGGAAGACCCAGAAGAGGCTCCTGGCTTCGGATTGGCTCAGCTCCAGCTGTTGCATTCACTTGGGGAGTGAATCATTGGATGGAAGATCTTCCTCTCTGTCTCTTCTCCTCTCTGTATATCTGACTTTCCAATAAAAAATAAGTCAATCTTTTGAAAAAGAAAAAAGGGCAGAGAGATAAAGAAACATCTTGCAGGATGCCATTGTGGTGCAATGAGTTGGCTGCTGCCTGCAATGCCAGCATCCCATGTAGGCACAAATTCGTTTCCCAGCTGCATTGCCTATCCATATCCCTGTTAATGGCTTGGGAAAACAACATGACCCAAGTGCTTGGGCCCCTGTCACCCACGTGGCAAATTTGGTTGGAGTTTCAGGATTTTAGCTTTGTCCTGGCTCAACCCCAACCATTGCAGCAGTTTGGGGAATGAACCAGTGTGTGGAAGATCTCTCTCCTTCTCTGTAACTCTGCCTTCCAAATAAATAAAATAAACCTTAAAAAAAAGAAACTTCTCCAAGGTTGTAGAGTGGAAAGAACACAAAGTCAAACCAAAGTCTGGTGATTACAGCATCATCATCTTCCTTCTGGAAGATTCCAACACTTTGCTGACAGCTGCTTCACTGTCTGCTGGGAAAAAGTGTGCTCTTCAAGGTCTTGGGAAGTTCTTTTAGCACTGAAGACTCAGCAGTATCCACAGATACACAAAGAGGGGTCCCTTTGCCATGCCACCCCTCGGCAAGTCGCTTCTTTATTAAGGTGCTGGGTGCATTAGCTGCCTCTGAGTAAATGTGTAATTAGCTGCCCTGACTGTATTTGCATAATGGATTTCACTTTGTTCTTAAGTTAATGGTGTTTTTGCAACAGAACACTAACCTCTTGGTTCTTGGCCATTAAAACAACTGCCACCCTGAAGGCTAGAACCAGGGTTATGTAAAGAAAGTTCGGTTAAGAGTCACAGAGGAGGAAAAAAAGGAGACTGGGTGGTTAAAGTTCCTGATGCAACACAAGTTTTCTGCTTGAAAGGTCAATGGGGGGGATGTTAAGGGATAGAGGGAGCAGTCTATGGGGGGCCCCAAGTGCAGGTTCACTGCCTATCTGCAGCCTGAGGAGCGCTGTTCTTATGGGATGTGATTGAATAGGGTCACTATGGAGATGAAGGGAAAGGACCCAGCATGAAAAGGTAGGATACTCCCAGGAATACAAAGCAACCTCCTGCTCTGTCCCAAGCCCTATTCTGAGTCTCTGAAGGCACTGCAGAGGACACAGATGCAAATCTCACAGATCCCATGCAGGCCTTTCTGCCTTGGGTGGCCACCCATGGCATCTGTCCTATACTCTCCCAGTACAGCCACTGCTAGACTTGCATACAGGCTCTAAGCCAGTGTGGAAGACAGTTCCACAGGAGCCTCGCTTCCTGAGGGGTGGTTATCACCAAGGGAAGCAGAAGTCTCCCATATGCCTGGCCCCTCCGTGGCCTTGAAACCTCCCATTCCATCTCAACTGGGCCTGGCCCTGCCTCCCCAAGTGCCAAAAGCTCCCGCAGGTGTGGACCCCAATATTCAAGGACTTCCTCCCGCTGCACACCTGTGCAGTTGGGTTCCAACTTCTTGCTCTAGCTGGGCCCATAGCTGGTAGGACTCATCCATCATGTGGACATAGAAGTCTTCAGGGTACGCCTTTCGGATTATCCGGGTCTGTCCATGGGAGCTCCCTCTGGAGTGTGGCAGGAAGAACTGGAGAATGAGAGAAACAGTGGAAGCCGTCACCCCTAACAGCCTCCATCTCATGGGGCACAACCAAGAGCTGCTTCTTACTCTAGATAATTCCATACAGATTTTCCAGATTCTCTTTATGGCCAATCAGCTGACACAGCCACCAAGACAGGTTCTATAGCCATGTTAACTTATACTTCCTTTCTACAAACATCACTCATACCCCAAGTCCCTGTGCGAGTTAGTCTGCATTTATCTGTTCTAAGCTCACCCCACTTCATAGAGAAGTGAACTAGAAGAACTTTCCTGATCATTCTGGTCTAGTCCCTTCATTTTATAGATAAAGAAATTGATACTGGCTGTATGTCTGTGGTTACAGATCACTGAGGCTGAAAGAACCCCCTTGGAATAGAGCAAAAGACTGAGTTTCCTAAGAGGATGCACCAGGGATCTCTTGGGCTTTGAGGATTAACACGAAAATTTCCAACCATTCCATTTCATTGCCAGGGTAAACCATAAGCAGCATGGGTAGCTTGGGCAGAATGGGAAGAGAGAGTCCACCAGGACAGATGCCTCTCTGGGGGATGGACCTGAAGAACCCTGCAAACATCTCAAGCCCATGTACACATGTGCAGTCACTACAGACTACACTGTCTGGAATCACCTTTCCTTTGCAGCCACATAAGGTGTAAGTCTTACTTCCTGTATGCCAAATGGGAAGCTGCTATTATCCAGAGGTGGTGGGAAACACAAACTTTTGCTGGGTGCTGGAGTGAGAAACCAGGAAAGCAAGGGGAAAAGTCCCAACAGGCTGACATGTCACCTTTTGCAATGTGATCTTTATTTAAGACTGCCCCAGAACTGGCTGTTTTTCTGGGCTGTATCTACCTTTTGATCATAGAAGGATCAGGGTGGCAAGAAAGAAGAGAACAGGGTCTAGAATGCTTCTCAATCTGGATAGGAGCTGGGGGGGCGGTGCAGTATAAGAATAGAAGTACCTGGAAATCTAATGTGGCTCTAAGGAAAGGGAGACTCGCTTTGTATTCCCAGGAACACCACAAACAGCTCAGCTACAAATTACACAGAATGCATGATTATTCAGGCCCTTTGGCAGCACCCCATAGCCTGGAGGGGGGGAGAGGCAGACAAGCCTTAGGGTCAGGCATATAGAAGAGACACAGTACCTGCTCCAGCAAGAGGACCCTCTTCCTGTGTTTTGCCAGGTGGTATGCAGTGAAGCAGCCCTGGATGCCTGCCCCGATCACAATGGCATCATAAAGAACATTCTGAGCAGCCATGCTGCCCTCTTAGCTGGCTCTACAGCCTCTGAGCAGAATTCCCACAGAGATGGCAGGCTCTGCGCTCAAATAGGCCGAGGAAGGCAAAGTCCAGCCTGACCAGTGTTCCCACAATCCCCTGGGGCCAGTCCTGCCCTCACTTACCCTCCCCCCACAGCTTGGCACAGGGCTCAGCCTCCGCCTCCCCTGCAGAGCAGAGCTGGGTATTCTGATTTGTGAGGTTTAGCCCAGCTCAGCTGCCAACCTCACCCTTGCATCCCTCTAGCTTTCTATTCTTGGCTCAATTATTGTCATGCAAATGGGCTCCTTCCTATGCCACCTTCCTGTCTCATTATGATCTTTGTCTCAGGACTTCGGCCCTGGAATTTCAATGCCTCCTAGACCAAGCTGGGCACTGGGAATGCTGCCTCCCCCTGCTGGTTTTCCTCTCTTCAGCCTGATTTCCTTTGGAGATTCTACAGGCCCAGCAAAGAGCTTGGCAAGCTGCCCGGTGTAAGGCCCTCCTCTCTTGTGGGTGGTGAGGTCAGGGGGTGGATTCAGGGGCCAATTGGGAGGGCAGTTTTGTGATTATGAAATTATTCTCAGTGTGCTTTACTTTCGGTTTGGGGAAAAAAAAAACTGACCTTTGAAAAATGGGAGAGGATGGAGAAAAAGGAGGAGCCCTCTCCTAAGGCACGGAGACGGGAGTAACAGCCTGGGGTGTGAAGGGACTGTCAGGTTGAGCCTCCCACCAGGCCAAGCTAAGTGCTGTAGCAGACATTCAGGACAGAGCCAGGATTGGAAGGACCTGATGCGCAAACAATCTGGAGGTTCTCTTAAAGGAGGAAAAGGAAAGAAGAATTACAAATACAAAATGAGGTGCCAAGACTTGGAAGAGAAGCATTCAATTAGGAAGCCCCATGGTTGAAATTTCATTAGCTTCCTTGTAAATCTGCCTCTGTGTGCATTATCTCATTGAGTTCTCACAGCCGTAGAGGACATTCATCGCCACTTCTGGCAGATGAGAGATGTCTCCAGATTCTCTGTGGCTTTTCACTTGCTCTATGACTGCTTAACCTGCAGAATACAGCACAAGTGACACCATGAGTCTTTCTGACCCCTAAGAGACTGGCAGCCTCCTCTTCCAGTTTTGGAGCACTGAGTTCCTGTCTCAGAGCACCAGGCCCAGCACAATGGCTCAATGGCTAAAATCCTTACCTTATAATCACCTGAATCCTGTATGAGCACCAGTTCATGTTCTGGCTGCTCCACTTCCCTTCCAGTTCCCTGATTGTGGCCTAGAAAAGCAGTAGAGGACGGCCCAAAGCCTTGGGACCCTGCACCAATGTGGGAGATCCAGAAGAATCTCCTAGATCATGGCTTCAGGTCAGCTCAGTGCCAGTTGTGACCATTTGAGGAGTGAATCAGAGGATGGAAATCTTTCTCTCTATGTCTCCTTCTCTCTATAAATCTGACCTTCCAATAAAAATAAGTAAATCTTTTAAGAAGAAGAAAATCCAGCTACCCTGTAGGAGACACTGTGTGGAGAGGCCCTGGAAGCACGCAGAGGAATGAAGCCATCCAGGACCCTGGAGCTCAGGGAGGTCACCCACTGACCATTGCTAAGTGACCCTGGAAGGGCTGCATGGGGTAGAATTATCCAATCATGTCCCTTTGAATTCCTGACCCATGCCAGCGTTCTTATAAAATGGCTACTTGGGATATATTTTTTTAAAAATGCATAACTAAAACACCTTTTAACAGCCACAGATAGAAATGCTTAGAGAGGTTGTAACTTAGAGCAACCTGCCTGGTGTCCATAGACGCTAGGGTGAAAAGCTCTGTCTGCTTCCTATCCCTCTCTCTGTTTTTTAATAACAAGTTCATTTTATTTTAATGATATTTACATAGGTGAGAGGGATGCATGCTCATGTGGACCTGCAATTAGGGTGGGGAGGAGCAAAGAATGGGAGAAGGTAAATGAGACATCTGCCTTCAATCTTTTTTTCTTGTGGAAAAAAGAAAAATGGAGAGAGAAGGGAAGAGGGTCACTCCCAGTAACTCAACCCCATCAGGACCTAGGAATGGGGGAAGGCCACTCCATGTCATCCTGGAGTCCCCAATGTGCAGCATGTTCTGAGGTTTAAGTGGTTTTGATAGTTCTGAGATGCTGTTGATTTCATTTTTCCAAGGTTGAGGAAATTCTATTGAGGAAATGTCTATTGGCTGACATAGTACACCTTAGAGTCTTGATTCACCCAGATACTTGTCCAGGAGAGCTGTCTGATTTATACTGCCCTCCATGGTATTAGACATCCTCTGCAGGCTTCATGAACTATTTTCATGTCCCCCATCAGTAGCTGGGCATGCCATCCACTGCACAGGCCTCAACAACTGTGGAGACCCAGTTCTGACTCAAGCAGTCCATGTTCAGACCACAGATCCTGTGATTTTCACTGTGGTTGGAGTTCTGAGTCCAGTGATCCAGTTGGAAGGGGTCCCTAAAGAAACCTTGCCAGACATGACCCTAATCCGACCCCTGTGTGTACTAGCCAGTGTGGGGTCTAGCTTAGTTCAACACCTACATCAGCCTATACACACACTGGTAATTGCATTCACCTGGTCAGTTCTGTTCCCAGCCCCATCTCATATGCAAACCAATGGATGCTGTGGCCCAGCCTAACTCTGCCCACTACACATTTGGCCCTCACATACACCAGCAGCAACAACAGCCTAGTCGGAGCAATCCCCAATAACCCACACTAGGCCTACCCTCAGCCCTGATTCCTGTGCATGCCAATATATGCAGCAAATTGTTCCCCTTTGTCCCATATCCCATTCAGCTCTTATACACAACAATGAACATTGGAGCCTAGCTCAACCCAACCGGCACAACTATCCAGCCCACACTCATGCCAGTGAGTGCCACTGCCTGTCTAGCCATGCCTACCCTTAATCCTGGATCACGTGCTCACCAGTGGGAGTTGAAGTCGATCCAAGAGATACCACAGTTTCCCCTCTGGGCCCACTTCCAGTCCCAGATCTTGCATTTTCTGGGTGGTTCTGCAGTCCAGCTTGATAGCACTTGCCCCTAGTACCAGCATTTGCCAGCTGATGTTGACGCAAAGCCCAGTCAGCCTGTACTTACTCTGGCTCATGCATGTACCAGTGGATACAGTTGGTTAGCCCAGCCTGGCTCTCCCCCTAACTGAGTTCACACGCAAGCCAGTGGGTGTTACAGCCCTGCCCAACCTGGTCTACCCCCAGTCCCAGCTCTCATGCCCACCAGCAGGAGCAGCAGCTCCTCTACTAGGCTCCCCCTCACCCCTATTCTGGGTCTTATGTATGCTGGTGAGTGCTGCAGCCCAGACTAGCATAACTCACCTTACCTTGGCATTCATCAGTGGGTGCTACAGCCTAGCCCAGCCCAGCCAACCCCCCAGTTCTAGCCCTAATGTGAACTGGCTGATGTTGTAACCTGACCCAGCCTGTCCTGCACCCTCTCCTGGTTCTCACATCTGCCATCAGGTACTGTGAAGTAGCCCAGCCTAGCCCAGCCTAGCCCAGCCTAGCTCAGCCTAGCCCAGCCTGGCCCACCCCTTGACATGAGCCACATGTATACCAGCAGGTACTATAACCTGGCCTGGTCTGGGCTTGTCCCAGACTTAGTTCTTGTACTCACCTGCAGAGACTGCATCCTGACAAAGGAGTTACCCAAGCTCCTCTATCAGGTCACCTCCCAGTAGTGGATCTCACATACTCTGATGGGTGCTTGGCCAGCCTGACTTGGTCCCCCTTTGTCCTGGCAAGAACAGTGGCCTTGCCCAACCAGCCCATACCCATTATGGTTCTTACTGTGGGGTGCTACAGCCCAGCCATGCCTGGTCTTCCCTCGTGTCCAGTGTTCAGTGTATTCAAAGACCTAGCCCAGCCTGTCCTATACCTACCCTGGCTCTTGCAAGCATCAGTGAGTGCTAGAGTATAGCCCAGTCTGGCACACTGCAGACCCAGTCCACACTGATGCCAAGGGATGCTGCAGCCATGTCCAGCCCAGTTCACCACCCACCATTCTAGCTGTCATGCTCACTAGTGGAAACTACAGACCCTTAGCTCCCAACCAAGCTTACTCCCAGCCACAAATGTTGTATATGCTAGTGATTGCTCTGGCCAGCCTGATATAACCCATCACCCAGCTTGGCCTTTGCTATCAGTTGCTGCTGCAGCTTAGCCTGGGCTGACACACCTCCAGTCCCAACTCTCACTGGTGGGTGCTGCAGCCTAGCCGTGCCCAGCCTATCTCCATCCCTAGCTTTCAAGCAAACTGGTAGGTATGTTAGCCTAGGCTAACTCGGAATGGCCCTTACCCTATCCTGGCTCCCTCAAATGCCAGTGTGCTATGTTTGACCTGGCCCTGCTTGGTCAGCCCCCTACAGAGCCAATCCACACACCTGCAGACAAGTGAGGCAGCCCTGCCTGGCCTGACCAACACCCAGTCCTGATTCACATACTCACCAGTGGGAGCAACGGTCCACCAGGGGGAGTTTCCCAAGTTCCCCCACCAGGCCCACTCCCAGATCCAGATCTTACACATTCCAGCGAGTGCTAGGCCCTTAGCCAGCAATCTGCTCCGCAGTGACAGCCGTTGTTTGTGCTGGCTATGTTGCAGCACAGCCTCTAGCCCTCTTTTAACCACTGTGCTATAGTGAGGATTAGTCAAAAACTCATAACAGTGATCTTGATTTTAATATTTGCTGTTTCTTACATGGCCGTATGGCAGGTGGGAGGGTCTGGGAAGCACATGTGACAACAGGAAGCATCCCCTAAAGTGGCCTTGACAACTAGCTTCCTCAGCATTCTTCTCTTTCCCAGGAATACAGACACCCAGGGAGGGATACCATCTGACTAGCTTGTGCTTCCTTCTGAAAAAAAAGTTGGAGTCCAGAAGTCTTGTCAACACCCTGTTATCCCCACCCCGTAAGGAACAGGAAAGCATCTGTCTCCCTAGCTGTGTAAATGTCTTC